TTTGATTCAAGGCTATCCCTAACTGTGTTTCACACGGCATCCTGGCATCTTTTTGTAACACTAAGTCCTTTTCTAACATGGCAGCTTTAAGTCTCTTATCCTCTAGTCGTCCTCTCACATGAAACATTTCTTGGGACGCTATGTTCTTCTCATCTAATGCCTTATTATAGTCTGAAAGGACAGCAACACAAGTGTCATTAATTTTGTCCAAGAAGGGTTGACAATCATGCATGTTGTAGTTATTAGATTGGATCATGAGTTTTACCTGTTCGATGATGCTTAGAGTTCCATATTTTGCCATGAAGCAGTAGTTTTTCTCCAGCTTTTTTGATCCATCCTCATCAGCAGTTGCCACCATGCATATTTTTCCTTTGCCCTTGATGTTGTAGTCTTCACCTTCATCTCCGGATGACCATACTCGATGATCCCTTTTTACATGGGCCACATATGCCCTTGCTTTCTCTTTCTCTTCCATCTCCTGAGCCATTCTAAGATAGAATGCTTTATCTTTCACAACATTGGCTTTACAATCTTTAGCGAAGTGATTTTCTTTATTGCATTTGTGACAAATAATAGCATCATTTTTTTCTTCAGTTGAGGTACCGGAGTCAATTGACTTGATGGACTGTGGTACCTCTTTGGGTTGATGAGTATTTTGTGGTTTCGGAGATGGGTGAGGATTTCTGGGATATCGAGAATGGTTGTTCTGCGGATTGTAGTTACGGTTAAAGGGTGGTTTGTTAAACTGCTGATTTTTACGAAATGAGGTTGGTGGTAGCCTATTGAATTGTTGGCTAACCAGGGCAATGGCATTTTGGAATTCTTCTTCATCATCATATTCCTTATCAGCTTCATAGGACTGCGGTGGATTGTCATATGAAAGAGAGTAAGGTTCGTATGATTGGGTGGTTTTGCTTAGTGGGGCATGTGCTATGAGGGCAAGTGGTCCTCCGAAGTCTGCACAATTTTTTAGCACTGTTGATTCCTGTGCCTGAAGTTCACCATACAACTTGAAGAGAGAAAGTGTCTGAATCTTCCTATCTCCTGGGACTATCATCTTGGCCGTAGTCCAATGTTTACCCAAACCATTGAGAAACTGAAGGTTTGTTTCATGATTGCTTCGGACGGTGCCCGCATTTGATAACTTTGTGATGATAAGATTGAACCTTTTGAATGAATCTTCAAGACTTTCACCTGGATAAGCTTTGAAGTTGTTAAACTCGTTGAGTGTGATGGTGAGTTTCTTGTCTTGAGCTTGCTCAGAACCTTCACACAAGTTTTTTAGAACATCCCAGATTTCTTTAACTGATTTGCAGTTGATGATGATGTCAAAGTTGTCTGGAGCCACTCCGCACGAGATTTCATAAAAAGCAACTGCATCACTTTCCATTTTATCCAGATCATCTTTAGTGGGACGATTCATTACAACTTGACCTCCACCTAGTCTAGCTTGAGCACCATCAGCTTGAACCGGAGTAAGGATGGGAACATGAGGTCCCTCCTCCACAGATCTCCATATATCTCTACCAAGTCTTTTCAGATACCTCTCCATTCTTTGAGACCAGTGATGATATTCACTTGCAACAAGTATTGGGGCTCGGTTAGAACCACCAACACTGTTGGAAACATTAAGTGATAGATCTTGTGCCATTTCCTTCGATTTTTTTAAAAAACAATTTTTTGAAAGAGATGAGCTTCAGTGGTATAGAAGGCCTTTTAAAATCAGAGTTTGTTTAAAAAGCAACCACTTTGGCTCTGATACCAATTGTTGAGAGAAGAACTTTGGGAAACACTTGAACAAACGTTAGTACAAGTTATATGTTGCGGAAATAAGTTAATCTCAAAGGATCATAAAGCTCAACAATAATAAGAAGTTAGAGTTGTTAGAGAGTTAGATGCGGAAATGTAAGTGTAGAAAATGAAGGAAATTAAATGACAACAAGTTATATATCAAGTAAACACTAAGCTGATTCTTAACAAGGTTTGCATTCAAACCGAGTTAATTCATGTGATCAGCTTAAAGTAAAAGAAGTCTTAAAGACTTGCTCCGAAGGAGATATGAGTGTCGATCTTAATATTTGAGTGAGTTCAGAATGATTTTTAGATAGTAAGAGATAAGAATTAAGAGAGAGAAATTCTGAGACAGATAGAAAATAGACATAGAGATGTGTTCATTCATGAAGGTGGGAACTCTATTTATAGAGTCTCAAAAAGTTACATTGCTAATAAACAAATAGTAAACTTATGACTTATAGTGACTATGAGAAGTTCACTGGATAATACATTGAAAAGTAACAAGTCAGCTAATGTAACTAAGTCTTCATTGCGGATGAAAAGGATGCAGATGACATCTTCAAAAGAGGTTGCGGTAGTAAAAGATGTTGCAAACTGAAGGTGATTCTAGGGAGAAGATCCGTTGCGGTAGAGGAGTAGACTTCGGATTGATAAGTTTAAGAGGTTGTAAAACCATTTTAAAACCATTTAATCTCGGATTGATAAACATATAGGGGTGAGATCGGTTGAGAACTCATAGTTTCCCGAGAACCCGAGGACTAAAAGTGGAGCGTTGGATCAAAAGTAATTCATTAAGGACTTGATCGTCATCTTACCAATCTCATTTAATGTTTAATTTTTTTGTGTTATTTAATATATTAATATAAATGTCTAAAATTTACATCATAAATCAAATTTTCAGATTTTTTTAAAAATAGTATTTTTAGTTTTTTTTAAATAATGCAGATTTTTTAGTTTTTTATAGAAAACATGAATTTTTGAAAAACAAAATTGAAAAAAATATTTTTTAAAAAAACTGCATTTTTTTTCAAAAAACAACAATTTTTTTAAAAAAACTGATTTTTTTTCAAAAAACTATCATTTTTTAAAAAAAAAAAAACTGGATTTTTAAATAAAAAACTGTATTTTTTTCAAAAAAACTGCAAGTTTTTTAAAGAAAATTACATTTTTTTCAAAAAAAACTGCATTTAAAAAAAAGTGCAATTTTTTCAAAAAAAACAAAACTGCATTTTTTTTAAAAGTAAATTTTTAGGTGCATATATGCATATTTTTTCAAATGCATATATGTATATTTCTTATACTATAATATTTGTAAGTAAATCACAAAAAATCTCATTTTTATTAATTAATCTATAAACATAATAGCACAAGTATTTTATTCGATACAAAATAAAATATAAAAAATAAAAAAATGCTACAAATTTCAAAGCGTTTTCATGTCTTCGTGTCAATATTTCCTTATTTTCTTCAATTTATCATTTTTCACTTCTTCAATATTCAACACAATTTCTTCCAAATCTACAAGAAAATTTAAAAAAAAATGATTGATGCAAAAACACTCACAAAAATACATATGTGATTTTCATGTGATTAACATATGAATCACATGTGATTCACATATGAATCACATGCGATTCACATATGAATCACATTTACATATGACATCATATGTAAATCACATACGATTCACATATGAATCACATGTGATTCACATGTGAAACACATATGATTTACATGTGAATCGCATGTGATTTACATGTGAATCATATGTGATTTACATGTGAATCAAATGTGATTTACATGTGAATCAAATGTAATTAGTATGTGAATTACATGTGATTTTCATGTGAATAACATATGAATGTGTACATATATACGTAATTCATATGTAATTCACTTGTGATTTACATGTGAATCACATATTATTCATATATGATTTACATGTGATTAATATGTTAATCACATGTGATTTACATGTGAATCACATATGATTTACATGTGAATCACATGTGACTCCCATGTAAATATATGAATCACATCCAAATTAATATAATGGATATTATATATGGCAAAAAAAGATAATAACTGAGACTACATACCTGGAATCCAAATTAATGTGAGGGGATCCAAATACAATTCATAAAGCAGCTGTAGGAGAATATAAAACTTGTTCATAAAAATCATTAAAAAAACTAAGAAATCTGAAATTAATTGAGACTACACTCCTGGAATCCAAATTAATAAAGCATTGCATTGACAATATGCTTTTTTAGCATTTCCAGAAAATCAAGAATAACCTTCAAACGACTTATATGAATAAGGCTTCAAATAACAATATTACAGCAACAACAAAAGTCAAAATGAGCCTATATCAGGTACCAAGGTTATCAAATAGTGGGAAATAGCAATATATTACCATTTGACATTAAAGCATGTACAAAGGTTTTACTAACCGTGTACAAAAGCATGTAACAATAGTTATTTTTCTGCAAGAAAAAATTAAAAAAAAATTGACTGATGCAAAAACACTCACAAAAATACATATATGATTTTCATGTGATTAACATATGAATCACATGCGATTCACATATGAATCACATGCGATTACATATGAATCACATTTACATATGACATCATATGTAAATCACATGCGATTCACATATGAATCATATGTGATTTACATGTGAATCACATGTGATTTACATGTGAATTACATGTGAATCAAATGTGATTTACATGTGAATCAAATGTGATTTACATGTGAATCACATATAATTCACATGTAAATATATAATCTTTCTCGTACCTTGTAAAGTAAATAAATAAAAAATGAGGCTAGTGCCATCATAAATTACATACATAAAAATGGGTTTTTTTCATGTCATTCCATGATTGAAAAAAAACACCCCCTGGCTGAGAAATGAAAATTAGCAAAATGATTCCTTCAGGAATTATCCATTCCATTCCATTGGGCAAAACAAAACACTACCTGAGTGTATGACCTTAATCACTAGAAATTATAATGAAATGAATGTTTGATTATAATAAGAAAAAAAAACTTACCATGATCTTTAATGGAGGAAGTACTTTGAGCAGACATCTCCCTTTCTCTTTCATTCCAATTATCCTATTTTGTTCGATAATCTACTAATTTAGAGCTTATCTCTTTGCACATGTTTCCAGATGCTTCTAATTCTGTCTCCAATTTAGATACCATTCAAATGGTATGCATCATTTTCTTCTTTGGCTTTACCATACATTAATCTAGCTTTCTCTAATTCACCCTGTAATTCTTTTGTTTGTTTAACCACAGATGACATAGTATTCTTTATTACCTCCACATTTTTCAACAAAGATGCAATCATGCCATCAATCAGTATTGAGAAACTACCAAATTGGTCACCAAGAATTTGGTTTCTAGCATTCAACTTATCCAAAGTGTTTCCAACATGTGAACTAATAATAATACCCTCACTATCTTCTGCATTGAACTCTTCAAGCCTCCCAATGCTCCAATCATTGTCAAATCCAGCATCCTAACTTTCCTATAAATCATAAGAAATGAGATAGATAAAAGAGTAAAAAAAACATGAAACAAAATAACAAAAATTGTAAGAACTGATGATATTATTACCTCAACTGAATGATGCTCTTGAAACTGTTCTGAATCAAACTACCCTTTATGTCTTTGAGAACACAGTCTATTTCTTTTAAGTTTTTGATTTTTTTTCTCAAAACTTCTCTTGAACAAAGTGAATAAAGACTCATCTTTTAACAGCACTTGAAGATTTCCTAAGAACCTAGAGAGCTCTTGACCCCATTTATCATTACATGTATTTAACTCAGTTTTGAGGGTTAAAATCTCCTATTCAGCTTTCTTCTTTTCCCCAACAAGATCAGAAACAGTGTTCTTATGGTACTCAGCTTCATGAACCGACCATTCCTTCAACAATCTCTACTTTAATTTCCAATTCAAATTAGATTTTTATTCCAACATTATATGGAAATTAAACTAAACTTGTAATTTCACTAAAAAAAAAGTATAACTCTATAAACCCTAACTCCATAAAATTGTAAACAAATTGATTATAAATTTATGATAGAAATTGGAAAAGTCAATGAACACATTCAAACAATATACATTCTATTATCTCCACTTCCCAAAGGCCTGATATGCTTAAAATGATGAAGTCCGATTATTTCACCATCTACAGTGATCTACAAAACAATAAAAAAAGGTAAACACTGTTAACATTCAAATCGAATTGAATTAGAAAGTTGAATGTTAAGATGAATCAAATGCAAGCACCATTAAACATGAAGTCGGGACTCAGAATCTAGTTTAGGAACCTATAACAAAAAGGAGCTCTGATTCTAATCTCAAACATCGAACTCTATGTTATTAGGTTAATTTACCTGAGAAGTGAGACCTCTAATTTGCTAAAATGTCCAAGTAGTGAAGCGAGACCTGATCTCATTGAAATCGAAACGCAGTTGAAGAAATTGGTCGAAGACTTGAACATCGCCGACACCGATTGAACCTCTGAATCAGGAGGTCTGGAGCGATCGGACCTCTAGTTGATTTATTAGGGCACGAAACTAGAGAGGGAAGAAGGACGCAATCATCATGTAGTTCAATCTATCAATCATTGAGGATCTTCATTGCAGATCGGTTTATGATATAATGGAACGATGAAATGCATTTTGTTTCCAGATCAACGGTAGCGGCGTTAGGCGGTGGAAATCATAGAGGAAATCGGTGATTGAGGTCGATCCAGGGAAGAGGGGTGATTAGGTGAAGAAGACGACGTGAGAGAGAGGGGGGGGGGGGGGGGGGGAGATTTAAGCTGGGGAATTAAAAGAACTATTTTATTCCTAAAATGCCCCCTGATTCATTTTAAAATCATACCCCCGTGTCTTATTTTGTCTATGTATTTACAAAAATGCCACAATGCATCTTGTTCATCCTTTTTTTTTATCCAACGCTCCACTTTTAGTTCTCGGGTTCTCGGGAAACTATGGGTTGTCAAATGATCCTCTCTCTCTCTCTCTCTCTCTATATATATATATATATATATATATATATATATATATATATATATATATATATATATATATATATTGCCAATCTAGATTATTTATTTATTATCCTTTAAATCCCTATACTCACGCAACTTTTGTTTTCGAATAAACGTCAACAAACATGACCTTATTTAAATTTTTTAGATTTACGTGTGCTCTATTTTAAATTTTGCGAAGTGTTAAGGTGATATGGTCCAGACTAAATAGAAATTCAAACTCCAAAGTCCGAAGGCATCGTTAAATAATTACTGGCATAAGCCCATTTAAAGAATTTGAGGTGCATTTTTCTATCATTATTTAACCCACCAATAAAAAGAATTAGATCTTTGATTATTTTTCGTTTGAGGAGATGTTAAAACGATTCAACATTCAAATATATATATATATACGAATTATATGAAGCGTATTTCTACGACATTCATATAAACGAGCTACAAACGACATAATGAAAAAAGAAGCACCTTCTTTAGTTTGGGGTTTTGGAAAACGAAAGCCTTACGGAATAACCAAATCCACCAAACTATTATAAGAGGGTGTTTAGCTTAGCTTTTGCGGGGCAAAAGTCTTTTTTGTAAAATGACTTTTTACAAAAGTTGTTTTTTAAAATGTGTTTGGATTAGCTTTTGAAGGAAAAAAGTCAAAAGTTGTTTTTAAAAAGTGTTTGGTTTAACTTTTACATGTAAAATGACTAAAAAAGACATGCTTACATATTTACATTGATTAGAATAGCTGGGGATATAAAGGTAATTTAAGTTGTAAGTGGTTCAAAAGTTACAAAAGTCACGTTTACCTGATTTTTCAAAAGACTAAACTTCCTTGTATTTAAAAAGTTGATGTAAAAGTCATTTTCATTTTACCAAACATCTTTTACCTTCTTTTTAACTTTTAGGAAAAGATAAAAGTGAAAAGTCACTTTAAAAGATGAAACAAACACCCTCTAAGAATACCTGCATCAAAAGTTTTTTTTTTGTCATCAGAAACTACACATGATCCTCCCAAAAAAAAATCCAATATTAGCTAAAGAAAAGATGGAAATAGGATTGAATAGAAGTTTAATGGAGTGTGAGTGATGATATTGAGGAGAGTTGAATAGGAGAGTTGCATGATCATTAAATGGTTCAATGGATTTAATATTTTCTTTTTCAAGTAAATTTCAAACCAAATATAGAAATCCATTAAACTTTGAAGGGTTTAATGGATTGTGGATGTTAAAGAATATAGTTGAAAAAAAAATGAAATGTTGATGTGGCAGTGATGTGGCAATCCATTAAACTCCTTAGAGTTCAATGGATTGTGGATGCCCTAACAAGCAATCAAACGTCAAAAAATAAGACATCACCTGGCAAACCATAAAAGATGATTGATCTACTCATTTTGTTGATAACCAAGAGGACATATGGCTGAATCTATATCTACATCTCTTGCATCCAAGTTGACTTTACTCAATACCGATTACGAACAAATCTACCATGTCAAAATATTATATTTATTTATTCCAACGAGTCAAATGATCACCAATATACAATGTGTACATGTCAATAAACTTTCTAGCTAAAGAGACAGAAAAGTGACACGACTCATCTAACTCCGACTCATCTTCATTTAAACACGAAAAATCAACTACAAGAAAACTCATGGCCGAGACTTGGTTCTATTTGCCTCCTTTCCCACCGCTCCATACAACAATTCCAAACTCAAATGTCATCAACCAAACGATCAGAAATATTACAATCTTTGTTTAATTTTAGTTCATACAATCAATCAAACTTTTGAACAAACAATCACGTTCCCCCGACCAAAGATCACTACAAACAAAATTGTTATTGCACTAACAAACCCTTTGTAAACGAAAGTGTTATTGCCCCAACAAACCCTTTGTAAAGGCTTCCAAGTCTATTTTTAGATCGAAAATTTCTCTAAGATTGTACAATGTTTTTCCAATCTCCGTGACTTTTTACATCCAAACCCATAAACTTCAAACCTACCTTTATGACCATGTATCTATGAAATAACATATATATATATATATATATATATATATATATATATATATATATATATATATATATAATATATATATATATATAGGATTATGTGAGGACTCTTTTCGATAAGGACTTATGAGTACACCTTAAAAGAATTGAAAAAAAAAATTAAAAAAAAATACAAATCATAAAATCGAGCATAATACAGTATTGGAGAGAAAAAAAAATTGAATCATTGATCAATTTTATGATCCATGATTCAATTTTAATGATCCAAATTTTTTTTTCCAAATTTGTTTTTCTCTCAAATATAGTACTATGCTCGATTTTATGATTTGTATTTTTTTCAATTTTTTTAAGGTATCCTCACTGAAAAAAAAGTCTTCATCGGAACTGGATCCTATAAGGGCATGATCGTCATCTTACCAATCTAGTTTGATGTTTAATTATTTATGTTATTGAAAATATTAATAAAGAGGTCTAAAAATTAAAATAATAAATCTAATTTTTGGATTTTTTGTAGAAATAAAAATTTTCGATTTTATAAAAAAACACAGACTTTTTAATTTTATTTAGAAATCATGAATTTTTTTTAATAAAAATTGAAAAAAAAATGTATTGTTTATAAGAAAACTGCATTTTTTTTTAAATCAGTAAATTTAAAAATAAAACACAAAAAAAAAAAAAAAAAAAAAAAAAAAAAAAAACTGGGATATTTAAGAACAAAAAACTATAAATTTTTAACCAAAAAAAAATCCAAGTTTTAAGTACATATATGTATATTTTTTTCAAGTGCATATATGCATATTTCTCATACATTAATATACATAAGTAAATCATAAAAAAAACTCATTTTTATTTACTAATATATAAACATAATAGTATAAGTATTTTATTCGATACAAAATAAAGTATAAAAAACAAAAAATGTTACAAAACTTCAAAGCGTTTTCACGTCTTCATGTCAAGATTTCCATATTTCTTCAACTTATCACTTTCACCTCTTCAATATTTTCCACAAATTCTTCTAAATCTACAAAAAATTAAAAAATTGATTAATACAAGAACACTCACAAAAATGAATATGTATATATCATATAAGATTCACATGTGATTGTATCTTTAAAGATTCATATGTGAAATTCACAAAAAAAAAAAAAAAAAAATCAAAAATAACGAAGAACACTCGCACAAAATGCATGTGTGCATATAGACGTAATTCATATGTGATTCATATGTGGTTTACATGTGAATCACATGTAATTCACTTGTGATTTACATCTGAATCACATGTAATTCATATATGATTCACTTGTGATTTATCTGTGAATCACATGTGATTTACATGTGTATCACATGTGATTTACATGTGTATCACATGTAATTCATATATGATTCACTGATGATTTAAATGCGAATCACATGTGATTTACATGTGCATCACATGTGATTTACATGTGAATCACATGTAATTCATATGTAATTCACCTGTGATTTACATGTGAATCACATGTAATTTATATATGATTCACTTGTGATTTTAAGGTGAATCACATGTAATTTACATGTGAATCACATGTAATTCATATGCGATTCGTTTGTGATTTACATGTAAATCACATGTGAATCACATTTAATTCATATGCGATTTGTTTGTGATTTACATGTGAGTCATATGTAATTCATATGTGATTCACTTGTGATTTACATGTGAATCACATGTAATTCATATATGATTCACTTGTGATTTAAATGTGAATCACATGTGATTTACATGTGAATCACATGTGATTTACATGTGAATCACATTTAATTCATATGCGATTCGTTTGAGATTTACATGTGAATCACATGTAATTCATATGTGAATTACATGCGATTTACTTATAACCATCACACCATGATTTAGAAAAATACCAAAATTCAAGAAAATTCTGACATGAACCATTATCAATTATGATTGACCCGATGGAAGAGATGTTAGATGACACATGGAATCCTATCAACATGGCGGTCCTTATTCTTCCTCCGAGTCTTGTTCTTCCTGTTTTATAGTTTAGTTCTCATGCATATATCACTATATATATATATATATATATATATATATATGAAAGAACAAATAATTATGATTTAATATTACTAAATTAATATTAATAACAAAAGAGATTCACCTGAGAAAGCTGAACTGAAAGCTAGTTCAGCGACAAATCTTTGTTGAAACTTATCTCGGTAGACAAATTAGCCAAAGAATTCATCACAAACCACCTAAAAATAGAACATGAGTATTAACAATGAATTTCACTTATAGGAATTCAAATCACATTCTTACTTAACTGCATAATGAATCGACTAAACAATTTTATGCCAGAAATGAGAAACGCATCAGTTAATAACTTTGCTAGAATCTTTCTATTGTGGTTGAAACGTGTTAATTATTCTAACAAGAGTCTAAGTTCCCCTCTGAAAAACCAACACATGAATAATAAAAATATAATGCAAAGAGACAAATAGTTACTGATGGTTTCCTGTAAATAGCATAACAACATGATTGAGTTCAAATATTCATACTAATGACACGATCACCCCTATGTCCTATTATGATGACAATCTTGTATTGGAAATTTGATCTTACTTGTGTAAGTAATCATCAATGATCCATCGAAGCTTACTTGGGGAAGTATGAAGATGTCCAATTTGAATAATTTGATTATAGAGTTTAGGACTGAAGGGGTATATCTGTAATTCTTGCCCCAAAATTTTCCAAATATTTGCAAGTTATGCTTCAGAACAATGCTTCCATATCATTCACACATAAAAGTTGAATAGCAATTCAAGTTGCTGACTTTGGCTTCTCCTTTCTGCATTTATAAAGATTATGTTACATAATAACTAAACAGATTCTACAATCTAACAAAATTAAATATGAAATTAAATCACCTGGAAGCACCATGGAAATATCTTGATTCAAAATTTATATTCTAGATTCCTATCCAGAAGTCAGTTCTTCAAATAAAGCAGCACAACAAACAGAAACAACATAATTATCATTGACAACGAAACCTTACAGCAAAAACCAATTGTAAAAAGTGATCAAGTATGCCCTACGTTAGACTCTAGCGGTGAAATACCAAAAATGCCCTTCACAGATTAAGAATCTGGTAAAACATCTCAGTTTTCTTTAGGTGATGACTTGGAGTCTGTAGACTCTAATGAGGAAATGCCAAAACCGACCTCAAGAATTGAGAAAGACATGTCGACCAACTAAATGATTTGACTGATGAGGATTTTTTGTTGTAAAAAATATCGAAACTACCCCTGGTAAGTTGAAAAACTTTTGAAGATATGTATGCCTGTTAATTAATTAATTAGCATCTCTGTTGATTTCGATAAGTATGCAAATCAAACACATATACAATAAACCTATATGATTGATCTACTTGTGATATCACATAATTATAACATCCTTTTACATTGTAAATAACTTTGTTAAACCAGAGTGATGAGCAACAGAGAAATTGCAGGCAAGAAGGAGCTTACTGCAGACGGCATGGATAAGATGAACGGTGTCACCGACGTGACAGATTAGGAGGAGCGCCCATAGAACGGTTGATCTGACCATTATCTAGAGCACTGTCATCTTTTAATTGGATCTGAGTTTCTCAATATCAATATAAGTACAAAGCAGATCTTCCTCAGATCCTATCTCGTACAAGATTTCAAACGGTGAGTCGTAAGGGTCTGACGCCAGATCTAGATAATCTGGTAGCCTAAAGTTCACCTTGCAATGTACTCGTCGATGATGAGACGACCTAAACAGAAAAGTCGTTGAATTTTATGGCTTAGAATTCAGATTCAAAGGATCCTAGATTTCAAGGAGTCGTGTAGACTCTTCACCTTACTCGATTCAATGAATATGGGAGACAGTTGACGGAGGAAACCATAGATTCCAGATGTTGGTTCTTGGGGAACGATCAACGATGAAGCTATTAGAGAAAAGGTATGATGAGACGAAGACGATCGTGGGATTTGGGAGAAAGAGGGCATCTATTGATTTGGGGGAATGATCTTACCATAAATGCCTTTAGATTAATTTCAGAACCATACTCTTTAATTTTCCTATTTATTTACAAAAGTGTTATAAAAAATCTTAGCCTTAATTTTTTAATTTGACCGTCCATTTTTACTTTTCGGGTACCCGGGAAACCATAAGTTCTCAAATGATCATTCATCTATATATATATATATATAAGTTCTCAAATGATCTTTAAATAGTTTCCAACGCCACTTCAAAAGTAAAATCATTTTTAACACGAATAAGCTACCAACCTCTAAACTACATTTATCTTTAGAAGTCACAATTATTTTCCATTTAACCCAACTAGTTTTACTTCTATCTTTAAACATTATAACTTTGCTCCATTTAAACCAATTAATTTTATGTTTATCAGTCTCACTCCCCAAAAGAAACGGGCACATGAAGATTCAAGAAAGAATAGAAACTAAAATAAAAGCTTTAAAATAAAGAGAAAAAACATACTATACTTTCAAGAACCATTTTCAAAAGCACATAGACGACTCCCATTTGTACTCATTCAGTACTTATGAATGATTTCTATAGGTGTTTATCACGACATCGTTACATGTGACAATCATTGATGAGGTATTTGGGGTTGTTGATGCTTATGTCCATCGCGATCTCGAATGCTTGGTTGTGTAGGTCTTGTGGTTTGGCTTAGATCTTGTGTTTTGAACTTCGTAACTTCTTCATACGATATCATATTTTAACGATCTTTATATCTACATGTTCGTTTTTTGAGTCTACTATAACTTTCGTTAAGATTACTCCCGTTAAAATGTAATATACTTTTACTTACGATTTTATAAAAAAAAACATCCATACATATATTCATAAAAAACATATGGATATAAAGATCGTAAGTAAAAATATATTACTTTTTAACGGGAGTAATCTAAACGAAAGTTGTAGTAGACTAAAATACGAACACATGAATATAAAGATCGTTAAAACCCAAAATCGTATGAAGAAGTTATGACGTTCAGAACACATGACTTAAGCAACCAAGTAGTCGAAATCGCGATGGACATAAACATCAAAATCCCTAAAACATCTCATTAATGATTGTCCCACGTAATATGTCGTGAAAAAAAACTAAAGAAATCATTCATAAATATCGAAAGAGTACATAAATAAAAATGACTTATTGTGCAACAAAAAAAAAATTAAGGACTAAATGTGTACAAAAATATTAAAGACTAAATGTGTACAAAGTGAGAAATATATTACCTTATTAAGTCATTTTTACCGGCTAACCTGGAGTAGCCGGTCATAAGAACTGAATGTGTACAGTTTAACAAGTTGAAGGGGTAAATGTAAACGAAAAAAAAAAACTCATTGACCAAACATGTACAAATCAAAAAAAATATATTACATTTTTAAGTCATTATCCTATAATTTATCCAAAAAGCGGTTAAACTTATATTTCCAACTAATCTCCCCATGTTTAAACCCCCAAGAAGGCTAATATAGATAAAACTAAATTTTTCCCGTTTGCATTTTGCAATTCATTAAGCTAATATAGATAAAAGTAAATTTTGCCCGTTTGCAGTTTGCAATTCATCAAAGTCGCATCGTTTATTTTCTTAAACAAAATACCAATCCCAAAACATTAAGGGTGCGTTTGTTTCACATAATTCCCAAGGAATTAGAAGGAATTGGAAATTAAAATCTATGGGAGATTGTGTTTGGGTTACCAAAGCAATGAAATTAGATTTCCATAATTACCATTTAATTCCTCATTTGAAAGAATTATAATTCTTCTACTGTTCATCATGAAAGTAGATTCAGATCTTTATCCTTATTTTAAATTACACAATCATCCTCCTACTATTTATGAGATAAAAAAAATCATTAACATGACTTTTGCCTCTACTTTTGTTTTTTTGTTTTTTTGTTTTTTTTTTGTTTTTTTTGCTTAGGATGAATTTTTTTGTGTCCCTTCTTTTTACCATTTATGTTTGTTTTCTTGAAAATAATGAGACAAAAGTCCTTAAATTATTTAAAATCCATGGTAGTTATTTTTTTTAATTCAAATTTTGTAGAAGAGTTTAATAAAAAATGTTGTAATTAAATAAAACTTTTTCGTGTTTATTAAAAAATATAATTAGTTACAAAAATCATTACGGGTATTTCTGTCTTATTACAAAATTTATTTTCTAATTGCTTTATGAAATCAGCAAACCAAACAGAAAACATATTTTATTCCATGTCAACCAAACGCATTGCAGCTTCTAGTACATTCAGATTCCAATTCATTTGATAGATTTCATTCATTTCAAAAACATTATGTGAACCAAACGCCTCTTAAGATATAGAAAAAATTGACTTTTAAACTCAATATAAAATATAAAATGGACAAACATCATAAAAACTCAATATAGTTTCATCTATTTTTCTAAACCATTATATTATGTTTTAGAGTATTAAAACGTTTATATATATATATATATATATATATATATATATATATATATATATATATATATATATTTTGAAAGACTAAATTAAGGCTTTTTGACCTCAAAAAAATCCTAATCTATTCCGACCATTAAAAACAAATTATTTTTCTAAACATCTATATTTTCTAAAAAAATATTAATCTGCGGGATTTTAATCAACAAACCTTTAAAGTCAGTTACCCATCATTTATGGTTGTCTAAGGTTACCTGGTCTCAAAACCTTAAATTAGACAACTTCAGATAATATAAGAGTTTTAAGATACTAAAAATATAGTGTTTTATAAGAATTGGATGAAAATATTGAGACTTTCTAAGGTTTTCCCTAAAAAATATGTAAAATCTACTAATATTATGTGGATTCTCGATCAACCAATCACAAAGAAAAATGACATTGTCTAGACAAAAGATGAGAGATCATAAGATTTGACTCATTAATAACTAAGGGGCCAATAAAATTCGGCCATTTACATAAGATCATAAGATTTGACTGTGCTATCTAGCTTAAGCAAACCATGCAAAATGACCCTTTACATCACAAAATTCAGCCCCCCCCCCCCCCCCAAGGACGATAGTAAAAAATTACGGTAAAACCAGGTCACCTTGTCTAAGGCTTCGTTTCATATGATACCCCCATGGTGAGCGTTGAGGGAGGCAAAGTGGGCAGCTGCACATGGCCCAATTTTTTTTTTTATTATTATTATTATTATTATTATTATTTAAAAAATATAATTTATAATAACGATAAGGGCCCTATTTTTCTGGCTCGTCATGGGCCTTTGAAGATATCTAATTCCTCAGGAACGCCCTGTGATACCCTTATATAGGTGAGCCGTCAATTAACATAGGTGTCATAGAAGAAGAAAGAAACATCTATCTGTTTCCTCTAGTTAATACCAAAACTAGTAATTTCAAGCATGTCGTCCAGGTAATCGAAATCAAGGGAGTTATACCTTTTCAACCATCTTCTCCAACATATTTATAGAGAACACATGTTTATCCCTCAATCCGAAGATCATTGATCCTCATTTGATAAGAGCAAAGATGACTCTAATAGCAGGATTATCAGTTGGCATTCATTGTTTCTTCTCAATATCATCAAAGATCGTGAGTAGGTTTTTTAAGAAGAATGTACCATAAGAGTTTGTAAATTTCAACATTACGTCTTTAGTTTTCATGGAATTGATGAATTGCATCAGTTGGATGTATGCGAATCGTGTGTGGTTGTGGGTGAACTTCTTGAGTTTTCATGGATTTGATGAATTGCATCAGTTGGATGCGTGGTAATCATGTGTGGTTATAGGTGAACTCCTTGTTGCAAAACTGGTGTCTAAGGGTAAGAAGGTCCTCATGATTCATTAGTGGGAAACCATATTTGGAGATAATATACTTTTTATTTATTTATTTATTTATTTATTTTTTTATTTATCATTATGTCTTACTCGAAAGTATAAAATTCATGTTCTTGAATCGTTTCTTTAGAAACCTTGAAAAACTTGTGATATTGTGAAGGGACAAAATTTCTCCATAGGCTGAGCATGGTTCTTAAAGAACGATTCAATACGTGAATGCTCTATTAGGTAATTTCCTGATTTACCTTTATGCACAAGTCGGTGTATAAAAGGCAATCAGGAATCCTAGTTCGAGTAGGATACTAGGAATTATGGTAAGGATCAAGTTTCCTTACATCAAGTTTTCTTGGCGAGCAAGGATTAGGTTCAATATATATAGGGTTATGTATCGTATTTGTGTAGATTGATTAAGAGAGCTCCAATAGCATTGTTTTGTAACCCAAGTTTTGAGTTATTTTCTTGAGTTATAATATTTGTTAAATATCAATTCTGTCTTAGAATTGGTATCAAAACCTGTAAGAATAGATGGTTGGGGAAGATAGTAGTTCGAGTAAAGATGGCAACAATGGAAAAGGTGAGGCGACTACCAAGGAGGGTTAGTCTATATCGTTCCAGGTTCCCATGCTCAACTCGACAAACTACAACATATGGGTGATACATATGAGAGTAATCCTGAATGTAGATCAAGTCTGGGATGTCATTGATCCAAGTGCGACGACCCCAAGAAGAACAACATTGCTATAAAGGTATTGTTTCAAGTGGTTCCTGAAGATCTCATATTGCAAGTTGGAGGAATGGAGACTGCGAAGAAAATATGGAAAGCAATCAAAACATGTCACGTTGGGGCAGATAAGGTGAAAGAATCTCGACTCCAAACCCTAATGAGTGATTACGACAATATGAAGATGAAAGAAACATGTACCATTGATGACTTTGAAAGCCAATTATCGAGCATATCATCTAAATCAACCTCCCTTGGAGAAACGCTAAGTGAGACTAAGCTAGTCAAGAAGCTTCTCACAAGCCTACTAAGGAAATTTATTCACATCGTAGCATTGATTGAGCAGGTCCTTGATCTCAATACTATGGGATTTGAGGACGTGGTGGGACGCTTGAAGGCATATGAAGAATAGATTAGAGAATCAGAACCAATCAGTGGACAGAGTAAACTCATGTTCACTAAAGCTAATTCCTC